ACATCAGCAAAATGGCAAAGTAGACAGCTCCAAACCTGCATGCTGCCACAAAAACATTTTTTTAAAGGCAGAAACTTTAGAACCAACAGAACTCTGGGAAACAGCCCAAGGTTTTCAGAAACCAAGAACATGCTGACTCAAGAAAAAGGCAACTTAAAAATGGTAGGGAGTGGGTAGGAAGGAGGCGAAAGAGGGAGAGAATATAGGTATACTTATGGCTGATTGGTGGTGGTGTACGGCACAAACCAACACCACATTGGAAAGCAATTATCCTCCAATTAAAATTAAAAAATTAATTTTTAAAAAAGAAAAGATACAGAAAAAATGGTAGGGAGCTAAAATTAGAAAACTCTCTAAAAGAAAAAACAAGCCAGAGGGAACAATCTTCCAGACATTGGACTGGATTTGACAGTGATTTCTTGGATGTGACACCAAAAGAACAAGTAGCCAAAGAAAATAATAGATAAATTGGTACGTATACTGATAGCTGATCCTCACTGTTGTACGGCAGAAACTAACACAATGCTGTAAAGCAATTATTCTCCAGTTAATTAATTTTTAAACATAGATACATTGGGCTTCATCAAAATAAAAGCTTTTGTACATCAAAGGGCAATTCACAGCATAGAAAAGATATTGGCAAATTATATATCTGATAAATAATTACATTTGGCAGATACAAAGAACTCCTATAACTCAACAATTAAAAAAAAATTTTTTTAATGGGCAAAGAGCTTGAATAGGCATTCCTCCAAAGAATATCTATAAATGTCAGTCGCAAACAAGCAACTGAACTGAACTGAAGCACATGAAAAGATGTTCAAAATCATTAGTCATAACGGAAATGCAAATCAGTGAGATGCTACTTCATACATGTTAGGATGGCTATAATCAAAACAAAAACAGGAAATAACAAGTTGTAGGTGAGGATGTGGAACCCTGGTACATTGCTGGTGGGAAGGTAAAATGATTCAACCGCTTTGGAAAACAGTTTGGCAGTTCCTCAAAAAAGTTAAACATAAAATTAACATATATCCCGCAATTCCACTACCATTCCAAAGACTGAAAAGCAGAGAATCAAAAAGAATCTTGTACACTAGCATTCACAGCATTATTCACACCAGTCAAAAAGATGGAAACAATTCTAAAGTCAGTGAACAGATGAATGGATAAATAAAATACAGTATATACATACAATGGAGTGCTATTGAGTCAGACACAAAAGGACAAGCATTGTGTAACTCCTCTTGTATGAAGTACTCAGAATAGGGAAATTCCTAGAGACAGAAAGTAGGTTAGAGGTTACTAGAAACTGGGAGGAGGGGGAAATGGGATTAATTGTTGAATGGTACAGAATGTCTGTTTGGAATCTTGAAAATGTTTTGGAAATAGATAAGGGTGATGCTTACCCAACACCATGGATATAATCAATACCACCAAACTGTACGCTTTGGAAAAAAAACGGTTAAAATGACAAATTTCATGTTATATATATTTTATCACAATTTTTTTTAAAAAGCTGAAAGAATTAGTGCAGAGTTGTAATTATAACTCAAAACGTGTCCAATGTAAGAGACTAGGTTTGCCTCACTTTTAGGTGAATATCTTCCCCTGGACCTTTCATTTCATGTCTACTCTTAAAACGTTTACCATTAACAGGTTAAAGGGCTGGTTTCTGGTAGTGGTTTTCCACAGGGCTCCTCTGCTCCCAAGTCTTCCCTCCTCTGCCTGCCTGCCTGCTTCTGAGCCAGATGAGGGTCCCTGTTTGTGTCCATAAGCCTCGCATTGCTGCGTGCAGACGCTGGGAATGAGAACTGGGAGGGAGGAGACAGGGCAGCTCACAGGAGGCTGGATGTGGGCTGACAGCCTCCCCTGGGCCAGTGATGACCAGGGACCCTGGCAGAGCCAGCAGGTATGGGGCCGTGGAGCTGTGGGCTGTGCAGGCATGCGTGAGCGCCTGTGACCGAGTGTGCAGGTGGCTGACCCCCGAGGCTGCTCCAGGGGGTGGGGGTCCCCAGGCTTCACCTGCCCCCCTTCCTCTCACGCCTCACCTCGGCTTGACCGCAGGGAGAAGCTCAGGGTGCGTTTGATGCCCTCGCAGTTGCCTGGGTCTTCGTTGATGATGCCCACGTTGGTGTTCCAGGTGGTCCAGTTCACCTCGTCCACCCTGCAGGGGGAGGAGATGGGGCAGCAGGGAGCTGGCGGTCCACAGCCCCGCAGTCCCAGCGCCCCTGCAGACCAGGGCGGGGAGACACAGCTGGTACGAGGAGGGCCCGGAGGGGCTTGCCTTTTGCGTTTGCTTTTGCCAAGGGCATACATGCTAAGTCAATGTCCGACTCTTCTCAAGCCAGTGGACGGTAGCTCACCAGGCTCCTCCGTCCATGGGATTCTCCAGGCAAGAATACTGGACCTGTTGCCAAACCCTCCTCCAGAGGATCCTCCCAACCCAGAGGCCAAACCCACGTCTCTGGTGTTTCCTGCCTTGGCAGGCAGGTTCTTTACCACTAGCGCCACCTGGGAAGCCGGCCACACCAAGCAGCTTACGGGATCTTAGTTTCCTGACTAGGGATCGAATCTGGGCCTGCGGCAGCGAGAACAGTAAGTTCCAACCACTTGAACTCCCAAGGAATTCCAGCGAGGAGGGGACCTGCCTTTTGGACACCACCTCTGAAGATGTGTCCTCTGACTACGCCTTAGGGCCCAGGGACTTTAAAGACTGGATTCCTTGTTCTAACTCTGATGGCTAGGTGACCCCTTCTGGACACCTCGTTTTCCAGTATTTCACGTCTGGGTCCCACAGTCTGGGATCTATGATGGGTCCCCTGTACCCACAGCCAACCCCAGGGCAGCCCCTGTACCTATAGCTGGCTGCCCGGGGTTGGCTGTGGGTACAGGGGACCATGACTGGTCCCAAGAGACCCTAAGGAAGGCTTCTGTTCCCACAGGTGACTCTAGGTGGTTCCCCCAGGTTCATGCTAAGCCCCAGAATGGCCCCTGTACCTACGACTGGCTCTGGGTGGGTCCCCATGCCCACAGGTGAGTCCTGAGGCAGATCTCTGTCCACACAGCTAGCTCTGGCTGGGTCCCCATATCCGCAGCTGAGCCCCCGAGCCCCACAAGCTTTGATCCCTGCCTCGGAAATTACCTGAAACACCATCTGTAGTCATCCTTGCCATCAGGTGTGTACCCCACCTGCAGCAGCTTGCCTGAGCGAAAGGCCTTCCGCATACACTTGAGGAAGCTCTTCTCCGTGTCTAGGATGGTGATGGCTCTCTGCAGGAAGACACGAAAGGCAGAGGGCGGAGGGCTCATCCAGAGGCCACCCCGGCTGCCCGTGCCTAGATCAGCATCTTCAGTGTCTCTCGGGTCCCTGTGCCTCCAGGATGGACGTCCAGTACCCTCTGCACCAGGCTTGGTCTTCACAGCCCAGCAGGTGCACACTCCGTGGATGGCGCTCAGACTTGCACAGACGCAGCCGACCCCAGACCCTTCCCCAAGGAGCTCAACAAAGGACAACATAATGTAGCACTTAAGAGCAGAGCCTCGAGGATGAGATTTCCCAGGGCTGAGTCCTGGCTGGGCTGCTTACTGGTTGCCTTGGAGACAGATAGCTAACTTTTCTGTGTCTCTTTGTTGTTAGTCACTAAGTCCTGACTTAGTTGTTGTTGTTGTTTAGTCACTAAGTCATGTCTGACCCTTCTGCAACCCCCATGGACTGTAGCCCACCAGGTTCCTCTGTCTATGGGATTCTCCAGGCAAGAATGCTGGAGTGGGTTGCCATTTCCTACTCCAGGACACCTTCCCAACCCAGGGGTCGAACCCACATCTCCTCCATCTCCTGCACTGCATCACCACTGCACCACCTGGGAAACCAGTGCCTTCATCCAAAATCGGGGATAATGAGAGTGCCCTCTTGATAGCAGTGTTATAGGATTAAAGACAGCATGTAAGTAAGACACTTAGAACAGTACCTGGTGTAGAGCCAGTGCTACTTAGTAAGAATGATGCTTTTATTGTTAGTTGGGAAGGCAGAGGTGCACTAGGCAGCTCAAAAATGCAGTTGTCAGGGGACTTCCTTAGTGGTCCAGTGGCTAAGACTCTGCGCTCTCAATGCAGGTGATCCAGGTTCAATCCCTGGTCAGGGAACTAGATCCCATATGCCACAACTAACAGCCTGCATGCTGTGTGCAGCAACTAAGACCCGGCACAGTCAAAAAAAAAAAAAAAAAAAAANAAAAAAAAAAAAAAATACAGCTCTCAGGGCCCATCCCATCTTAGCTGCTCCCAGAGTCTGGTTTCTGGTTCCCAATCAACACCAAGATCCTCTGCGACAGGCACCCCATGGGGCTGAACCCTCTGTCTCCTCCTCCCAGGGACTGCCCAGCTCCGTAGACATGGAGTTTACGAACACCTGCTGGAGACCCTGGGCAAGCACCCCTGTGAGGGAAGCCAGAGGGGAGACAACTGACGGGGAGGCTGCTGCCTGAGCCCCTGGCCTGGCTGGGCTGTCTGCCCCCTCCCCAAAGCATCCCCTGTGCACCGCTGTGTTGAGCAGCAGCCAGAGCAGCTGACCCCCTGGTGCTGCAACCCACCTGCAGCTTCCAGATGTTCTTGCTCTCTTGAGCGATCTTGTTGACCGTCTCGCCCATGAGGGCAATCAGCATGTTGAGCAGGAGGATGTACGTGAGAATCACGTAGGCCAGCAACAGGATGATGAAGACAGCCTTGAAGTCATAGTTCTCGGTGAACTCCAGGTCCCCCATGCCGATGGTGAACTTGAAGAGCTCCAGACACGTGGAGTACAGGCTGTTGTAGGAGCTGTGGGCCGACCGGCAGCCAGGCCCTCGCCACCTGTGTGGTGACGACTCAGCCGGCACAGAGTCATTCTTTCCATCCTCAATCAGTGTCACCACCGCTGGAGGGCACGGGGAACATGTGGCCAGATGGAAGCCTAAGACCCCAGGGTCCCCAACCCGCCCACCCACTGCCCCAAGAGGGTCCACAGCAGGAACTCTGGCTTGGCCATGTGGCGTCTTTGTGTGAATTTAAAGGGAGAAAAAAAAAAGGTACTCCCTTCTTCAGAACTATCAGCTTGTCATAATCTGCTCATTGCAACTAGAGAGAGCCCATGCGTAGCAATGAAGACCCAGCACAGCCCAAAATAAGGAATTAATTTAAAAAGCCACAAAGTTAGCATTGCTAGAAAGGGACAGACATCATGGGACACTTGATATAAGGAAAACACACATTCCTTCCTTGATATTTTGACCAAAAATGAACACCTGAATCTAACTGTGAAGGAACATCATGGGCATCCTCTGTCCTTGGGATTCTCCAGGCAAGAATACTGGAGTAGGTTGCCATGTCCTCCTCCAGGGGATCTTCCTGACCCAGGGATCGAACCCAGGTCTCCTGCATTGCAGGCAGACGCTTTAACCTCTGAGCCACCAGGGAAGCCAAAGGAACCTCAGCCAGACCCGAACCTAGAGACACTAAAAAAACTGCCGTTTACTCAAGAAAAATGTGAAGGTCACAAAAGAGAAGGAAAGATTGAGGAAACTGCTCCAGAGTGAAGGAGACTAAACAGGCTTGACAAGGGAATGTAGTGTGTTATCTGAGATTTTCCTTTCTATAAAAGACATTATTAGGACAATTAGTGAAATTTGAAGAAGGCTAGAAGACTAGCTAATAGTTCAGTGTTTATGTTAATTTCCTGATTTTGATCATTATGCTGTGTTTATGCAAGAGAATGTTCTCATTTTCAGGAAATACACGCTGAAATATTTAGTGGAGAAAGACTGATCCTATCTGCAGTTCTGGTTTTTTTTTTATAAGTACGGTGTAGTATGTATCCGCCTCAATGCAGGAGATCCCAGTTTGATTCCTAGGTTGGAAAGATCCCCTGGAGAAGGGATAGGATACCCAGTTCATTATTCTTGGGCTTTCCTTGTGGCTTTTTTTGAGTCAAGATGCGACTATACCACAGGCAAGCAGCACTTTATACTTCTAAAGTGACCTAAAATCTTTTATGAATCAATTTCCAGGTCCTCCTATTACTATTATTTCGGTGTGCTCCTTGTCCATCTGCTCTGTCGCCTGCAGACACACACCCCAGCGGGCCTCTCCCCACGCAACCCTGCAGAGTCCTCGGAAGCCGAGGTCAGCAGGAGCCCTGGCCTCCCACCAGCCCTGACCACACCCGTTACCTGTGGAAAACCCGAACAGGAACACGACGTAAACAAACATGAAGCGACACAGGTCTCTGAGGATCATCTGCAGGAGAGAGTGGCCTTGTCAGACCCTCCTCCAGGCCCAGGAGGGGCCGAGGCAAGTGCTACGGCTGTGTCAGCCTGGGGGGGTCTTTCTTGAGCCCAGGTGATATCAGAGGACAGACAGCTAGGTTTGGTTCGGTGGTTTTCAGCTTAGGAGTCATGAGGGACTTACCACAATGCCCCACATTGGCCTTTTTCTGGTGGGAGAGGGAGCCTGGCAGGTAGGGGGTGGGGGTCAAGTTTCAAGGGAGCCCCCAACCCTGGGTCAAGGCCAGATTGCCTGATTGTTGGGGAATTCTCTGGGAAAGTGGGTCTTAAAGCAGGACCTTCCCAGACAACGCAGAGAGGATGGGTGGAGTTTGTGGGGCCGGGTCCCACACCCCCAGGAGGCAGTCAGGCTCTGCGGAGGAGCCCTGGGGCACCGGCACCCACCTTCTCGATCATGACGGCGTAGATGCCCATCTGCTGGAAGCCGCGGGTGTAGTAGAGCATGTTGGTCCAGCCCATGGCCAGGGAGAACACCATGGAGGCCACGTACTCCTTGCAGCGGCAGAAGTACAACACCACGGTCGCCAGCATGAACAGCGACTGCATGAAGCTGAGGAGGAGGGACAGCAGGCCCTGTCCACAGGCGCCCTCACAGACAAGAGCCCAGATGCCTGGCGTGCATGCATGTTAGGTCCCTTTAGTCGTGTTCAGCTCTTTGAGAACACGTTCAGCTCTGTAGCCCACCAGGCTCTTCTGTCCATGGGGGTTCTCCAGGCAAGAATACTGGAGTGGGTTGCTATGTCCTCCTCCAGGGGAATCTTCCCGACCCAGCAATCAAACACGCGTCTCTTACATCTCCTGCATTGGCAGGTGGGTTCTTTACCACTAGCGCCACCTGGGAAGCCCCAAGATGCCAGGACCTCCCCTCAAAGGCCACAGGGGGAGGTGGGAGAGGGGATGGCCATCCTACCTTCTTTAGCCCATGAGTCTCAGTGGGACTGATATTGCCCCAAAGAGGCAAAAATCAGTTCTGGGTGCCAGTGGGGGGATAGGAGGAGGGGTGGATGTGCAAAATCTTATTCTCTTTACACTCAATCCACAGATATAAAGACAATAATTCCCTGGTGGTCCAATAGTTAAGAATCCACCTGCCAATGCAGGCTCAGGGGTTCGATCGCTGGTCAGGAAACTAGATCCCAGATGCCACGGGGCAACTAAGCGCGTGTGCTGCAACTACTGAAGCCCACACACCTAGAGCCTGTGCTCTGCCACAAGAGAAACCACTGTAATGAGAAACCACAGCTAGAGAGTAGCCCCTGCTCGCTGCAACTAGAGAAAGCCTGAACGCAGCAGGACCCAGCGCAACCAAAAGTAAATAAATAAAATTTTAAAATAAATAAATACAGTACATAAACAGATATACAGTATATCTGTGGTAAGCAATTTCATGGGAGGAGCAATTAGGAGAAAAAGAAAAGGAATCTAAAAGCAACAAAGAAAACAGGCTGAAAAACAGGGCTTGAGCTCCAACTACCTCCCTATCCAGTTCCTGGGAACAATAGCCTCACGGACCCCAGAGAATCTAGGAGGCCTAGGCCCGTGAGAACAGGCTGTGCGCTCCCAAAAAACCACAGGTAGAGTCTGCAGATCACATCCTCAAACTCAGGAGCAGAGGCAGGGAAGGTGTCCTTTCTGCTCCTCCGTCCGGTGCATGCTGCCTATCAGAGGCCTGGACAGGCTTAGAGGACACCTGGGTAATCCCATGACAGGGTCTGCTCAATGATCCCTTTCCAGATAGATGGATAAAAAGATGGAAAAAACGAACAAGGGTACATCTAACTCTGACTGTAGACCACAGGAGGCTGGGGAACAGGTTGGTCATTCCCTAGTACCTGGAACATACTTGGTGCAGAGTGGACTCTCGGTATTCACTCACCCAGCAAAGGTTTACTGGGTGCCTTCCATCATTCATTCAACATGTTTGTGAAGCCCTACTAGGTTCCAGGCCCAGTGTATGTGAGAGAATGAGTGAGAATGAGCTGACTGCTGTCATTCCAGATCTCATGGCCAAAAGATGCTGTCTGCTACAGAGGCATAAGAGTCAGTATCACTTACAAAAGCATCTCACTATAGCTGTCCACAAACAAGGTCTTCAGTGACGGCCGCCTTTGCAGGAAATACTGAATCTGCAGATAAACAGAGAATAAGATCTCAGGAAAGGTTAAACACTGAGCAACCAGAATGTTTTCTAAACAGCACCTTGATGTACCATGGAAGTGCAGCAAAGCAAAGATAATGAAGACAGTGGAACAGCCTGGGTCAGGCTAATGAGGTAATGTTGTATGACTCCGTCAAGAGAATTTTATTAAATAGAGTGAAATTACAACTGTATCTAGAAGTAAAGACGGGAAGGAAAACCACCAAAATAGTATCAATTGCCATGCTTGAAAGATGGGATTGGGTGAATTTTTTCCCCTCCTTTCTAATTTGTGCTTTTTCTAACTAAGTTTGAATTAAAGTAAAAGTTCTTTAACCAGCCTCCACTGAACTCAGCGGATAAACCAGTGTTCTTCACTCTCTGAAAACATTTTGCCTGATGCCCATGGTGAATGCTTCTCTCCAGGACACTCACATGCTCCATGCCCTCCCAGTGGTTAATCCCGTTTGCCAAGAATGCTTTTTTTGCCCACTGCACTTGCTACTGCAGTTTCGTATTTTATGATAATATAAACCATGAATGTGAAAATAAAGATGGTTGTTTCTGTGAAGGCGGAGTCCAATGATTAGGAAAGACTCCTTAAAGGTGAGTTACTAAAAAACAGGGTGTGGCTTAGATCAAAAAGATTAAGGGGAAAAAAATCAAAATAATCTCAAATTCTGCATTCAGAATTCTTTGTACATGAAACAGTAGTCCCACATGTATTTGAAGAATGGCCCAGGAATATGCATGTTTAGGGATTTTAGTTAAAATGATTCCAGGGACTTCCCTGGTGGTCCAGTGGTTAGGACTTTATGCTTCCACTGCAGTGGGCACAGGTTTGATCCCCGGTCAGGGAACTAAGATCCCGCAAGCCACATGGCATGGTCAAAAAAAGGGGGGTCTTTTAAAAATAAATAATAAAATGGTTCTAGTATATACATATTTCATTATTCTGAGCTTTAATGGACTGTTTCAATTAATTAAACAGCTACCAGTCACGGTCCTGTCTCTTAAGAGACTTGCACTCTACCTCTGTAATTAAATATTACACCCAGTGGACAGCCCTGCCTGCCTGTCTTCAAGTGTGACTGACCTGCATCTGCAGGGGGACACACTGGCCAAAACAGTACCCCCTCCCCAGCCGTGAATGCCCAAGGGTCCTCATCTTAACCTATGCATCTCTAAGTTTCTCAAGCAGGGCCATTACGTGGTTGATGAATTAAAAAGTGGTGAGCCACTGCTATATTTAAAATGGATAAACAATAGCGACCTACTGTATAGCACAGGGAACTCTGCTCAATGTTATGCGGCAGCCTGGATGGGAGGGGAGTTCGGAGGGAGAATGGATACATGTATATGTATGGCTGAATCTCTTCCCTATTCACCTGAAACTCTCACATTGTTAATAAGATATACCCCCAATACAATATAAAAAGGTTTTTAAAACAGTGGTGATCACTGAATGAGTCTCTTGGTTTTTTGTTTAGGTGATGATGGAAACTCACAGTATGGGAAGGAATGCTTACCCCTCGGAAAAAAAAGTAGATACCACCTGCCACAGAAATAATCTCTCCGGTGACTCGGAAATAGTCCGCTACAGTGTGTTTCGGCTTAAAGGGAGGCTGCAAAGGACAAAGACATTAATGATTTCACTCACTCACTCACTCACTCACTCATTCATTCAACCAACATTTACCAGGTGCAAAGTCTTGTGATTAAGACCCAGCCCCTTCTGGAGAGGCTTAGTCTGCATCAGGAGAGACCCAAACAAAGACAATGCATTACTATGGGGACACCTGCAAGGAGACGGGACCTGATTCCCAAGTGGTAAGAGGAAAGCCTCCAGGTGGTGAGAGGAGCATCCTTGATTTCCTGTGCTGTCTCTGGGATGATGCCCTAGTCTAGAGCTCTGCCTGGCGAGGAGGACAGTGCTGGCGTAGCTGCCTTACAGGCACACTGCCATGTGCTTCCTGCTGTTCCCACAGCCTATGGTGAAGCCCTGCTCTCCCAGGACTGTCAAGGTTTCCCTCAGATGCTGAAAGGAGTGCAGTCACACAATATGCATGTGTGTGTTGTCCTTGTCTTTCAGTCAAGTTTTCTAGAGTGGGTTTCCTTTCAGCCTACCATCCATATTTCATAAGCACAAGTTCACTAACTCGTTTCATTAGCACATTTCTCTTTCCTCTTAAAGTCAACCCTGGCAGCCCAGTGATTAAGACCCTGTGCTTCCACTATAGAGAATGAAGGTCCAATCCCTGATTGGGGAACTAAGATCTCATATGCATTCAGCGAGGCCAAAAATATAAATAAATAAAGTAAACTCATTAGATGGCCTTAATAGACGTATAGAAATCAGATTCCACCTAACTAGGAAGTTGAATTTTTCAACCAAATTTATAAGCAAGGCACCCTGGAAATAAAGGCAGCAAGTTAAGTGCTGGGATATTGAATGAAGGACTCAGTTAAGAAACTTGAGGTAGCCTATGGCTTCTGATAGCAGGAAAAGTCTGATCTTAGGTTGATCTGATGCATGGTCTAGGGCCCGGCTTAGAGGAAGTGCTTGAAGTCTGTGTACAGGGAATGAATCATGTGTGAATGAGTGAAGAAAAGCAGGCAGGAGAGAGAGTTGGCAATGTGCTCAGGGCTTGCACCACCCACGACCCTGAAGACACCCAGCCGAGTGGAGAGCTGCTTCCAGCCCCCTAATCCCTGCATCCTTTCCAGCCTAGTTCACCCCCTCTACAGTCAGGACCTCAGCGACCACGGGCTCAGCCTCTCAGAACCAGGGGGCCGAAGAAAGGGCTGAGAACACGAGGCAGGTGCAGGACAACCAGGAGAAGGAAGACTGAGCTCGGGAACAGAAGATCTCCAGGTGACCCTTCCATGTCTCCTGGGCCCCGCCTGGGTCCGGGGTCTCGGGGCCTTCTAGGAACACCCATCCCCTCCCCTCTTCCCCCTTGAGGGCCGAGCCTCAGGCGCACCCGGCCTCCCACAGGTCTGTAGTAGGCGACCGTGGTAAAGATGATCATATACAAGCAGTAGACGAAGAAGTTGAAATAGAAGATGCGCTTGACGAATCTGTCCCACTTGTCCTGCAGGAGGCGGTTCAGCGGCTCCACCAGGAGCATGTCATGGCGATTCTATGGGAAGCAAAGAGAGGTGAGGCCCACTCCTCCCAGTAAAATCCGCCTTGCAGGACCCCTTCAGCCCCAGGAACTCTTCATATCCACTCTCTGAATGACCACACCCTTGGCTGGAACAGCAGCAGAGGGTCACAGGTCTGGACCAGCAGGCTCCTTGAATGGTCCACCCTCTAGCTGTGTAATCCCTGTTGTGCAGTGAAGCAGTGAAGAAGAGGTGTAATTGGACTAGTGACTCTAAGATGGACCCAAATGATGCAAATGAATTTTGTAAGAGACTAGGAGACTGGGAGAAAATAAAACATCTGAAACATGTGCAGTAGAGAAAGGACCAATTCATTTTATAACAAGAGCCTCTACATACTAAAAGGATGAGGCAAATAGTCCAGTAGAAGAGATGGCAAAGGATAATGAATGTTCCTATTCTACCAAAGAAATACAAACGGTTGAAAACTTATGAAAAAATTCTCAACCTCACAGCAATCAAGAAAACAAGAATTATAAGACATCAATGAAATATCTGTTTGGGCTCCATGGACTTAAACTAGTTTTGAAAAAAAAAAAAGACAGGGAATACCCAGGTTGGCAAGGATTTGGGTAGATGTGTACCTCCTGATGGTAGGCAAGTGCATTCATGCAATCTTTTTGGAGGACATATATTCTGATTTAGCAATTCCAATTTCAGGTGTCCTTCATAGAAAAATTCTCAAGCCCATGCCAAACAACCTGCAGCATGTAGTAGGAAAAAACTGGAAATATCTCAAAAGTCCTCCTATGGATATTTACCGCCCCCCCCATCCCTATACTTAAAGTGCTGCTGCTCCTCTTTAGTTGCTAAGTTGTACCCAACTTTTTTGTGACCCCATGGATTGTAGCCCACCAGGCTCCCCAGTCTATGGAGTTCCCAGACAAGAATACTGGAGTCGGTTGCCATCGCCTTCTCCAAGGGATCTTCCCAACCCAGGGATCGAACCCACATCTCCTGCATTGGCAAACAGATTCTTTACCACTGAGCCATCTGGGAAGCCCCGTATTTGCAGTCATTTTTTTTAAAATAAAGTAGACCTATATGTGCTGATATAAAACTGTCTATAAGACATGCTGCTAAGTGAAAAAAAATGGTTGTTCTATACTATATATATTACGATCCCATTTATATAAACAAAATGAAGCTACATGTTTTCGTGTGGTATAAATGGAGGGTTCTTGTCTATGTACTTTTGAAATGTTAAAGTTTTATTGTAATATTATCATGTATTGAGTGTATGATACAGGAAGACATTCAGTGGGAATAAATGGGGAGGTTAGGCAGCAGGGTACAAGCCCCAGGTAGCAGGTGATGGGAGGACAGGCAGAGTCAGACCAGGGGCTGGAGAGGGGGCTGGGGTTGCAGTGAGACCAGAAGCTGGGTCCCGGCCCCGGTCCACTCACAGGGGTCTCGCTGCTACTGTAGGCAATCACCTCCAGCACCGAGTTCTTCTCACAGGTGTCGATACAGGACAGGTCATAGAGTGAGGAGTGCACAGGCCCATAAGCCCACTCGGTGAACTTCCTGGACAGGTGCCTGCACTCAGGCTCCTGGATCTCCCTCTGGAGAATATAAGCCAAGACCTGCCCCAGGAACACAAGAACCTGTTAGAGGCCAGCCTGAGGCCCACCGGGCCACTAGCTCTGTTCCAAGAATAATTCTGCTTCCAAGTCCATTGAAGACCCTGCCCAAGCCCCAGGAGGGTCCCCACCCACATTCAGCAATCTCTTAACTGCCTTCTAGATCAAGCTGCCCAATGCCTCAGACCTTTCACCTGATCACACCTGGCCCCCCAGTTCTCAGTGAAGGACTGCAGTGGTCCCCTCTAGAAAACCTCAAGCCCAAAGGAAATAAAGAAAATTCAAGAACTACAACCAAAGTTATAAAGCCAGGCTTCCCATCCTAAGAGACAGTATGGGCAGGGACCAGCTCCCAGAATCCCCTGGTACTGAGAAACTCCCACCCCACTCCCAATTCCCAGCTGCCCAGCCCCACCTTCAGCCTTCCATGGCCTGACATCATCACAGACTTGGAAGCCCGTCCTACCCCATTAGGACTCCCTATCACCTAAAAGTCCTATCTTCCATGAAAAAACACCAACAGTTTCTCTTTCCATTTCACTCTTGGCTCAACCCACCCTCACCCCATGGGTTGGTGGTGATGCTCAGAGTTGAAAATCAGAAAAGGCCACATGTGGGCAGCCTGGTTGGGAGGGGAGTTTGGGGGATAATGCACCCATGTATATGCACAGCTGAGTCTCTTCACTGTTCAGCTGAAACTATCACTGTTTATTAATTGGCTATGCATGCTTGTGTGCTGAGCTGCTTCTGTCATGTCCGACTCTTCTCAATCCCATGGACTATAGCTCGCCAGGTTCCTCTGTCCATGGAATTCTCCAGGCAGGAATACTGGAGTGGGTTGCCATGCCCTCCTCCAAGGGATCTTCCCAACTCAGGGATCGAACCCATGCCTCTTGTTTCTTGTATTGGCAGACAGGTTCTTTACTGCTAGCACCACCTGGGAAGCCCTAATTGTCTATACTCCGATACAAAATAAAAAGTTAAAAAAAAAAAAATAGTATAGGAAAGAGAAAAGAACTGGCCATATATGTGCTGCTGGATTCTGCTTAGCACCTCACAATTCCTCTGACTTACTTTAATGCCCCCACCCTTCTAACCCCCTACAGGCTGATGTGGCAACTTCTTCTGATGCCAGAAGTTCAGGAAGGCAGACAGACACCCTCCCACAGCATCCTCTGCTCAGGCATGACCCCGCCCCCACCCCTACCCCGATCTTCCCACTCTTGGCGGCCAGAGCCAGCGGCGTCAGCCCCTTCTTGTTGGTGAGCTCCTCCAGCTTCAGCGTAGGGTGAATCTTGGCCCCCAGGATCAGAATCTCATTGTACATGCTCGTCACGAACTTGGTGTTGTCAGCCGTGTTGTCGGCCACCTCCACCAGCGCGTGCAGAACTGTGTTGCCCACTGAGTCCCTGGCGCTGATGTCGGCTGGCTGCCAGGAGTTCTGCAGCAGGAACTTCACGATGCCCAGCTGGTTGGTGCACGCGGCCAGGGAGAGGGGCAGCTCACCTGCAGCCAACCACAGGCACACGGTGGGCCTCCCTGGAAAGAGACTGGCTTGGCCCTTGCACCACCCAGCCTCCAACTCCCTCTGTCTCCACCCCAAACTTCTAAGATGCTAAGTGTCTACCACATGGTCCCCCTACCAAAATAGAAGCCAGGCCGCCCTTTGGTTTTCTTAAAGAAGTCCCCGTTGGCCGCAGCCTGGACATCGGCCCCGTTCTCCACCAGGAGGGTCACCAGCGCCATGTTCCGCCTCTCAATGGCTATGTGCAGCGCCGTCTGGCCTGTGGAGGATGCATGCTCTTGGCTTGGGGCTGGTAGTCCTGAGGGCGTGACTGGCCAGGTGCTGAGGGAGGGCCTGGACAGAATGTGTGGGATGACTCCCCCAACAGAGGAAGCCAGGATCCCCTAAAGATGCCCAAGGCGTCCCTGAGCAGGAGCAGGAACAGGGAACACCAGACTGGGGGCTGAAGGACTCAAAATCGCCAAAGAGCAAGGAGCAGCAAGCCAGAGGTGGGAGAGGCAGGGAACCCCCAGGACCAGGAGATCCTGATTCAGTGGTTGGGAAAGGGAGTAAGGGGCTCAGAGACTTGTCGGGGTGTGAGGGTGTCCCCCTGCTCCAGGAGATCACGTGGGCAGAGCCGTGCTGGCCCCAGCCACCTCACCCTTGTAGTAGCTGTCCGTGTAGCTGGCGTTGACGAGCTCCTTCAGGCTGTCCGTCTGCCGGGCGATCTCCAGGAGCAGGGGGATGGTGTCGTTCTGCCCGTTGTGCAGGTTGAGCATGGCTTTCAGCAGACAGGTCTTCCCTGTCTCCGGGTCTGCAAGACAAAGCGGGGGTCAGAGCAGGCGCTGCAGGGAGGCGCCTCCCGGGAACCCGACGGCCTCGGGGCCACCTTTGAACTCGCTGTCCATAAGATGCTTCTTGCTCTTCTGCAGGAAGAGCAACAAGCTCTCCAGCTCCTCACAGTTATTCTGAGCGACTGCTTCAAAGATCTTCCTGCGATCGTAGAGCTTGAGTTTCTCGGTGGAAGCGGAGTCCTGGGACAGATGCCTGTGGACCAGAGAACACCTTTGTCTCATATTCTGGTCTCCCCTTGGCCTTCAGACCTTCAGAGCTGGTCCAGGTTGTAACAGGGAACAGTGGGGCACATGTACCCCCATTCTGTCTGTAGGCATCAGCTAGAAAATCTTTGCAGCCACTACTGCCTGCAACACCCAGGTCACTCACTTCTCTGCCTGCTTGAAGGCTGCGAAAGCCTGGAGGCGATTGGGGACGGGGTTCAGCTAAACGAAAGAGCATCCTCACAGGGCCCCGGGAGTCAGCCAGCCTGGGGGAGCCCCTGTCCTGCCTTGGAGGTGGTGGGAGGTTTCTGAACGCTCAATGGAGCGGTTTTGTACTTTGTTTAAAAGCGTCCTGCCCTTGAGCTTTCCAACTTGAAGTCTACATGATTGAGGCTGGTGCACCTTCAAAGGCTAGACCCAGAGATCAGCCAACAGCTAGGATCAGCATACATGCCAGCATGCGTGGCCACATGACTGTAGCTTCTGTGAGTACAGACGCTGGACCAGGCGACCTCTGGAGGCCCCCTCGGCTCCCCAGCTCTACGACCTTTTGCCCATAAACTCAGGTACCACATGGAGTCTCCATGGCTGGGATCTCAGCCAGCTGGGCTAGTTAGGCTCCTGGTGGAAAGGGAGGCGGGGCTTCGCATGCAGCTTACCTGACACAGGTGGGGCCATCCCCAGGCCTCTGGATGATGACTACAGGGCTGATGGTGATGGCTGGGCAGGATGCCAGCTGGCCTTCCTCGTAAGAGCAGTCCATGAGGGATGTGTCCTCTGAGTCACCCTTGCCAAAAAGCCGGCTGCGGCTCTTGGCCGTGGGGAAGCTTTGGGGCTTGGTTGGAGCTGGCCTGGAGTTAGGGTCTCCATCTAGGGGGTCTGGACAGGAGTCCTCTTGAGGCAGGTCCTGAGATTCCTGTGATTCTGAGCTCCCCCATTTCTTCATCCGTGCCAGATTCTCCATGGCCCAGGAGGCAGCCTGTGAGCAGCCACCAAGATCAGGCTTGTTCCCAGCTGGAGGACTGCATGACCCTGGCCCCCACTGCACTTGTTGCAAAGGCCCCTGTGAAGCAGGAACCCCTAGAAGTCCAACAGTTGCTGCTCTCAGCCTTCCAGAAAGAAAGCTTTCAGGGTGTAGTAACTCCCACTCCAGAGGCCCCAGTGGGGAGCAAACCTAGCAGACCCCTGCCCATCAGCCTCCAGAGATGGAAGAGCCCACAACTTGGATCCACCAGGATGGATGGATCACTCATCTTCTCTGGGCCTCAGTTGCCTTATCTGTAGAATGGGGATGCTAACCACTGCCCTGACTCCCCCAAGATCAGAGTAGGGGAAACCGGAAGGAGAGTTTATTGCTGGCTATGCATTCGGGAAGGAACTCAGCGATGAAGATGACTCAGCCCCAAAGAGCCAAGCAGTTTGCATTCCCAGGAACAAGGAGGCTGGTGGAGGCCAGCACTCACACTCCACAGTGTCCACACTGCGTGGTCCCTCGGGTGCCACGTGTCCCTGCCACCAGTCTTGCACTTTTTGTTATTTTGTAAAATTAGTATATTAGAAGCATCCTGGGGCTGAACTATGGACAGAGGTTCATGACATTGTACAGGAGGCAGTGATCAAGACCATCCCCAAGAAAAAGAAATGCAAAAAGGCAAAATGGTTGTCTGAGGAGTCCTTACAAATAGCTGAGAAAAGAAGAGAAGCTAAAGGCAAACGAGAAAAGGAAAGATATACCCATCTGAATGCAGAGTTCCAAAGAATAACAGAGAAATAAGAAAGTCCTCCTCAGTGATCAGTGCAAAGAAATAGAGATATACACTAGAATGGGAAAGACTAGAGATCACTTCAAGAATACTGAAGATGCCAAGGGAATATTTCATGCAAAGATTGGCACAATAAAGGACAGAAACAGTATGGACCAAACAGAAGTAGAAGATATTAAGAAGAGGTGGCAAGAATACAGAGAAGAAATATACAAAAAAATATATCTTAATGACCCAGATAACCACAATGGTGTGATCACCCACCTAGAGCCANGCAAATAGCATCATTTTGTTCTTTTTAATGGCTGAGTAATGCCCCTTGTATATATGTACTGTATCTTCTTTATCCAGTCCTCTGTTGATGGACATTCAGGTTGCTTCCATGTCTTGGTCCTGGATATTGTAAACAGTGCTGCAGTGAACGCTTGGATGTATGTGTCTTTCTGGACCACGTTTTTCTCCAGATATATGCCCAGGAGTGGGATTGCAGGGTCATATGGTAGCTCTGTTTTTAGTTTTTATGCCACTTCCATACTATTCTCCATAGTAAAGCAAGCATTTCTGATCTCATGGAAGGCCTAAGCCTTCTTTGAAAGAGTTTAATTGAATCAGATTCATCCAGGACAATCTTTTTATTTTTTTTAATGAACATTTGAGCAAAGTTTAGTTCAAGATGCAGCGGTGGGATAGGCATATGATAATATTTATAGACATTCCTATTCCAGAAGGAAGAAAATGGAACGGACACAGAAAGAGTTCCTTGTCCTGATGAGTTTCAGGCTTTGGCCCGGCAGAATCCCTTTCCCTGTTGGCTCAGATGGTAAATGTGGGAGACCTGGGTTGAGAAGGTTGATCCCTCGGTTGGCAAGGTCTGCTGGAGGAGGGCCTGGCAACCCACTCCAGTGTTCTTGCCTGGAGAATCCCATGGACAGAGGAGCCCGGAGGGCTGCAATCCATGGTGTCTCAAAGAGTCGGACACAACTGAGCGACTGAACTGAACTGAACTGGGGCTGAATGTTTAGACTTTAAGTGATTCGGGGCTGATGGGCCTTGGACATCTGAAGCCCTGGAGTTACACTGGGAGCTGGTGCCAGCACCTGTGGCTGTAAACTTGTGTTGCTACAGTTCTCTACTCCCTAACCTCTTCTCCAACTCTTCCCTTCCCAGATGGGCGTTATCACTCCCTAGTACCCAGTGATGTCCCACATCTCAGGGGCCTTGACCTCCATGGTGCCTACACATGCAGTGCTTTTTCCTCCTTCTCCTCTTGTCCAAACCCTGTCACCTCTCAGATGCCACCTCCCCACTGATGTCACTTCCTCACACCCCCTAACTCTGCACTGATGATGCTCCCTCCCCCTCCAGGGTGGCCCAGCTCCTTTCATCCATCCTCATGACCCTCTAAGCACCACGAACCTGCAGTCTAGCGATTTCTACCTGTGGCTCTCCCCCCGGCCCTGTGAACTCCTGGGCAGCAAGCTTGCCTGGTTCATCTCTTTATGTAAAAAAGCTGTGCTGGGAAATGAGCAAGATCAGATACAGATCCTTCTAGCTCCCGTTTCCAAAGGAAGTTGGAGAGATTTATGTTCCAGCAGCAGCTGGATTCTGGAAAAACAGCCACTGAAGGAATGGAAGACTTCTTCAGCCTGCATGGTCAAGTGAAAGTTCAGGCAGTGAAAACTCAGAGCACATGGCTGGACTGTGCCAATAGATCAGCTGTGATCTGATGCACAGATTCACGCAGGAAAAAAAAAAAAGGCAGTCTCACCATTTCACAACTTGCAAGCAGGACAGATGCTGACTGTTGGCTCCTTTCCCCTCCTGCCTGTTTTGCATTCAGGAGGGCCTGAGTCTTTCTCTGATTCATCCATCAGGTAGAAACCTTGCTGCAGGAAGTATGCCTGGTCACACAAAGCCCCACTTCCAACCAACACCCACGCGTGCATCCCGTCACTCAGCCTTCATCCACTGACCCTACCGGGTGGCCAGCCCAGTGCTGCGGCCACAGAGAGAACCAAGACCCCATCACAGACAGAAACCAGAGGCTGGCTGGGGCAAGGGGAACCACAGGAGGGCCCGGAGTGCCAAAGATGGCATCCAGATGAGCTGGGCCTGGAAGTGAAATGAGGCTGGCCTGGGATTAGGGAAGAGGATGAGGAGCCCCAGAGTAAGTGATGAAGAAGAAGCCAGTGGGATCAGAACCAGATGGCTGTCGGCCTTGAATGCCAAGGAGCAGGATGTGGACGTTATTGCTCCGATGGCAGGAAGCCATGAGAAGCTTCAGAAGCAGGGACACAGGGCACAATCTATGCTCCCAGAAGACGACTTCCCATCAAGACCTGTTTGTAGTTTGGGGGAGCCTATTGGCAACTAAAGGGCACAGGAGGCTAATGAGAATAAGAGTAGTTGATGCTTTGAGCGTGTGCCATGCAAAGGAAAGCACTGCTCTAACCCTTCATATGCACTCACTCACTTTATTCTCACATCTCTAAGAAGTAAATGCTTTACAGATGAGGGAACTGAGACACAGAGCAATTATATGACCCAAATGAGGTACACACAGTTAGGAAAAGGTGGAACCTGGATTTGATCCCTGGCCCCAGAGCCTCTTCAGCACTCTACCACCCTTCCCAAAGGCTCAGGACTCTTTCTCAGCCATTAAACTCAGCCCCAGACTTCACACAGGCCCAAAGGCCAATCAAACCTGGTCCTCCCATCCCTGGGACCAGGCAGGTGGGAACAATGCTCTTCCACTCAGCAATCCCAATTCTGTAGCATCCTCCTGCTCAAAACAAGCATCCTATGAAGCTGAAAACCTCAAAACAAATAAGGCCCAGGCCATATGCCAGGCCTGGGTCTCCCAGGAATGTTTCCCCTTGGACAAGGCTGGCTATAGAACCAGGAATAGACCTGCTTCCCAACCAACAGCTTTAACAACACAGCAAGAGAGCACCCGTTAGCAGAAGCCACCACAAACCTTTCAATGACATTCTTCTTTGCAGCTTTGCCTGTTTCTCTGACAGGTCCCAATCTAACCAAACGCAGTAAGCATGAAGCAGCCCACACAGTGCTCCCAGTCAGTCAGTCAACAAACTCTGAATCTGCCCTGCAGTGCTGCACCTGATTCCCTACTGGAAACCAAGCTTCTCCCTGGACGGAGGGTGGGACAGGGACTAAAAGGTCAATTGTCCCAGACTAGGAGGGTGAACGGGCTTCTCTGGTGGCCCAGACGGTAAAGAATTCACCTGCCATTCAGGAGACATTGATTTGATCCCTGGGTTGAGAAGATCCCCTTGAATAGGAAATGGCAACCCACTCCAGTATACTTGCCTGGAGAATCCCATGGACAAATGAGCTTGGCAGCCTACAGTCCATGGGGTCACAAAGAGTCAGACATGACTTAGTGGCTAACGCAACACTTAAGAAGGTGAACAGGGACAAGATACTTCACACTGCCAGGCCTGGGGTGTGCCCAGCATGGGAGCCCCAGAGCCATGCCCCTGTCAGAGTCAAACGTGCTACAGAGATGGGGGAATTTCCATGACTTAGGGGTGTTTGATGGAGATGGTGGTTCTGTTTAACACAAGATTCACAAACTCACCCATCTGGACTGAAGGGTGGTCTTGAGAAAATGACCCGCCCAACAAAGACCTGGTTTGGTCTCAGGGTCTTTCTCAACTCAAGAGCCAGGAGGGACACTGCCCACCAGCTGGGACAAGCCTCCCTTCATCTCTCACCAGTCTAGGTGAGACATCCTGGGATACAGGTCTCCCTGTCACCTCTCTGCCCAAAGCATCCATCTGCATCTGGCCACCCTGCAGGCTTTTGGGAGCCAGTCCAGGGCCCAACCCTGATCACGCTCATCCCAGTATCCTACTTGAGCATCTCCTAAGAAGGGATGCAGAGCTGGGGACTTTGCAACCCATGGATGAAGAGCCGGAGGAACCCAACCAAAAACAGAGGTGAGAAAAGAATCCAGGGCTCCTTTCTCCTGGCCTAGAATTCCTTCACTCCAGAGAGGACTACACACTGAATCCTCCAGCCACAAACCAACTGCCAGTCTCTGCTGCAGCCAAAGCCCCTTGGCCCCAGGATGCCCCCGACACAGATAATAGCAGCCTCCATCGTCACTTACCAAGTGCTCACAACTAGGCAGGCCAAGTGCGCCACGGCCTTTGAGAAAGCCACTGTTATTACCCCCAGTTTTCAGATGAGGCGCCGAGAGGCTCATTGAATGACCCATGGTCACACAACTAGAAAAGGCACAGCCCAGCTTTAGACGGCTCACTATGCCATTTCTAAAAGCAAACGTCTGCATCGGCCATCCCACTACAAAAGGGACTCACCAGCTGGATGCAGGCACACCCTGGACCTGGCAGGTGCGGCGAGCTTGAAGGCTATTCTGCTCCAAGGGAGAGCTGAGCTGGTGTGGCAAGAAGAGCCGCCCCTGCCCTGCCTCCGTGAGGGTCCTTGGCCCCTCCCCAGTTCACGGCTGCTCTGACTGGCAGGGACGGGCTGTGGGTGCGCTCTGGCACTCAAGGAAAATGTTTCCAGCAACAGCAGCAGCTGCTGTTGCCGAGGCTCCGATTCCCAGAGGATCCCAAAGCCTTTCCCATCATTTTTGCCCTTTTTTCAGAAACCACTTAGCCGCTGCCCCTCCTCCAACCATGCCAGGGCCACAGTGCTCTCAGCCACACACAGCCCAGAACCAGCCAGAGCTGGTGACTTCAGCTCTCAAGGAAGGAGGGAGGTGCTCGGGCCTCCCAGACCCACTAGCCTGGCAGACAGGGCGGCCTGGGGTAACAGCTCAACAAACAGCATGACCAGAGATCTCAAAGCCAGGGCTCCAACACCGCTCCATTTCCCAAATGCGGAAGGAAAGGAAAGGGTCATGTCACCCATCACACAATCCAGACCAGCCAATCAGGGACCTCCTGGTTTTGGGTGCTGCCTTTGCCGCCAACCCTGAGTGACCCAGAGCCAGTCCCTGCCTCTCAAAGGCCTCTCATTCTCCGTGCACCCAAATCTGGGATAGCAATGGCAGCGGGGGCACTTCGGGGTCTGTCAGGTCCAGCCTTTCTCAACTGGGGTTCCTCCTGGAACCCTGGAACACAGAAAATGATGAGAGTTTATTTTCTGATGTTTCCCAGTATGACCCTAAAGGAACAGGAAAAAATTCATTATGTCCAACAGGGCTTAATTCCCTCCCAGAAACTGCCTGAGGAAAACCTCAAAGTCTTTCCAGGTGCATACCTTATGAGGTTGTATAAGATTCACTAGGGCTTCCCAGGTGGCACAGTGGTAAAGAATCTGCCTGACAATGCAGGAGACGTGGGTTCAGTTCCTGGGTTGGCAAGACCCCCTGGAGTAGGAAATGGCAAGCCACTGAAGTATTCTTGCCTGGAGAATCCCATGGACAGAAGAGCCTGGAGGGCTACAGTCTATGGGGTCATAAAGAGTCGGACACGACAGAATGCTCACACAAAGTTTAGTCCATTGCAACAAGCTCTGACCCCTGAGTCAGGATGGAAGCGCAGACACCACGTGGGTCCTGCATGACTCTCTACAGTTTACCAAGAGCTCTTACCGACCCACAGCCCTGCACGGCAGGAGGGTGGAGCCTGTCGTACCCACTTTACAGATGAGAAATCTGTGACCTCTGGCAGTTAAATGACTGCCCAGGTCACACTGGTGGTTGGGCAAGGAAGCTGGGCCCATTCCACTATGCCACACCATGTCCCTTGCTTGCACACTTTTTCATATATGTCATTTGATAGATGCCATTTTAACTTCAATTTAAAAGAAACTTGGAACTAATAAGGACCTACAATATAGCACAAAGAACTCTACTCAATACTAGTTAATGACCTATGTGGGAATAGAATCTAAAACAGAATGGATGGGACTTCCTTGACGGTCCAGTGGTTAAGAGTCTGCACTTCCAGTGCAGGAGATGCAGATTCAATCCCTGGTCAGGGAACTAAGATCCCACATGCCACATGGTGCAGACAAAAAAATTAAATAAATGAATAAATAAATAAATAAACATGTATGTGTGTATATATAACTGATTCACTTTGCCCTACAGTAGGAAGCTAACACAACATTGTAAGTCAACTGTACTCCAATAAAAATTTTTAAAAACTGAAACTTGGAATTCATTCTTTTCTTTGAAAATTGTGATAAAACATGTACAATGTAAGTTACCATTTTAATCACTTTTAAATGTACAGATCAAGAGTATTAAATACACTTCAGTGTGGAGACTGTGATGTGCCGACACTGGATGAGGTACAGCCCTGGCTCACACACAGCCTGGGCCAAGCTGGGGTCCCAGCCACGGGCAGCCCCCAGGCACAGGTGTGATACACCTGGGAGAGGTGCTGAGAACACTGGCCAGCCCAGGAGCGATGATCAGGAAAGGGGGGTGGGGAGGGAAAGGGTTACTCCTCTCCTCCGGGACTGTCCCTTAGTCTCCAAAGTGATTTCTGCCTCCGGTGAGGACAGCACGGATCACTAAAGGTGTTCTCTTCGCAACAGAGGCACTGACAGCTGACATCCTGGAGTCTACGTGGTATTGTGCTGCTCCGAGAGATGCAGGAGAAATCCTGGCCCTTCCCTTCCTTCCCTGACCTCTCCTTCTCCATCTCCTTACTCTCTGGTCGCCAAGCCCTTCTTTCCACACAGGGACCCTTACCTCCTCCTCCTCTGAGATTCTCACCCCTCCAAGAACCCATCTGACATTCCCAAGACAGCAACTGCTTCACCCGGGGGTCCAGCCCAGCCCTCTGTCCCGAGCTCCGTCCCTGCCTCCCTGAGCTCCGTCCCTGCCTCCCTGAGCTCCTTCCCCTCAGCATCTCCCGAGGGGGCCTCCACTCCCCGACCCCCCACGTCCCCTTCCCTCCATGCTCCTGCCTGAAAACCCACCATCCTCCTTCTGGTCCCCAAGCCCAGCATCTTCGTCCTCTCCTCCTCTGCCCGCACTGTCTGGGCTAAGGCAGAACATCTAAAAATTAATGGATGGGACTTCCCTGACGGTCCAGTGGTTAAGAGTCTGCACTTCCAATGCAGGAGACGCAGGTTCAATCCTGGTCAGGAAACTAAGATCCCACATGCCGCATGGTGCCAACGAACAAAATTAAACATCATCCCAATCTTGCCCCCTTACCCAACAAGGCCCCACCCCTCCACCTGGCACCCTGAGTTCACAGCCCCAGTCCCCTCCCCCACTGTGGCCCAGCCCTCCTATCACCTAGACACACCTCCTCCGTAGCCACACTAACGGTGCCTGCCCTCCCTCTGCTCAAGACCCATCTCATTGGACCCAGGTGGCAGGTGAGACCTATAGATGCTGAGATTCTATCATTCAAATCCCACCTCCTCCAAAGGATGCTTTCCTGGGACTATTGGTGCTTTTGATCACAGTGCCAACAATAAAGGCAGGCAGAGTGCCTAGCACTGGGATAAGCAATTTATATGCACTATCTCATCTGATTCTTGCAAAATTTCATGAGGTGAATACGACTTTGTGCCCACTTTACAGATGAAGCAATGAAGAGCAGACAGGCCATGCAAACTGCCCAAGAACAATGACAACTGTCTCACCTGGAGCTTCCTAAAACTTGTACTGGGCTTTAACTTCTCTGATGTTTGTATCTGACTTTGCAGATTTCAGCGGCTCCAGGGAGAGACAGTCTCTGGCATCCGTTTCCCTTCTCCAAGCCTAGCTCCATTCCTTTCCCAAAGGTGCATGCTGGCTTGGCTTTATCCGAACAGCGCCTTCCCTGAGTAGTTCCACTAAAGCTCATAAAACAGCACTGGGACAAGACCTCAGGACTGAGCCTTGCCACCATTAGTGTGGTTTCTGAGTCATTATTTGAAACACAGTGTTCTTGGATCTATGTAGTGATGTATCTATTAAAACTCCTTGTAATTAGATCATGTTTTTGTAAGGGCACCCCCTCCAAGTTCCAGTCTGATGGGGACCAGAGGCAGCACAGAAAAGCGCTGGAGGTCTCACAGCACGTGGTTGAGCCAAGTCTGGCGTGGCCTAGGCTAAAACTACCGGCATCCCTCATGGCCACAGTTCTCTGTCTACATTACCACCATGGGGCACACTGACCCTGGCAGTTCAGTGTCAGTCGTGTCTGACTCTTTGTGACCCCATGGACTGCAGCATGCCAGGCTTCCCTGTCAATGGGAGACTCTGGCAATGGGAGACTAATATATTTTCTTCATCCACCTGGGTTCCTCTCGGATTTGAACCCAGACTTTCGGGCACAGCTAAAAATCAGCAAACTCCACTGTGCTAAAACAGCCTGATTGCTAAAGTCCAGACCTGTCAGCCTGACACCTTGGGAAGAGCCAGGTGGAAAGCAGGTGGTAGACCCAGGCCAGAAAGACTAGGGAAGGCACTATTGTAGGTGCCTGTAACACCCAAGGACAGTGATGACGCTAGTAGTCTTGTCTCAAGCTTTCTAAATCTTGCCCTGAGATTTCTAAATCTCATCCTGATTTCTGAGTCTTGCCTCCCAAATTTTGAATGGCTTCAGGGTCCCAGATCCAGAGAGAAAACAGCAAACCAGGAAGAAAACGACCTTCTTTTCTTCATCTGGCTGATGCGTGAGTGTCCCCAGGGGCCCGCATGAGTCAGCTCCCATGGAGGATGGGCATCTGTGAGAGGGGTCTGTGTGCTGCAGACACAGATGGAGCTGGCCATCTAAGCTGGGGAGGGAGCAGACACCCTCTTGGCTCCCCGCAACTGAGCCCTGCCCTTCAGACCTGGGGCCCTGGGGAGCAGCCAGAGCAGAGTGAGAAGCGAGAAGCAGCGGCTGGAGGGTCAGGGATGCAGGAAGAGAATGGAGGCAGGAGGGAAGAGGCCGGCTGCGCCAGACACCAGCTACATGAACTTAGGTGGTAGCTGAAGCTCCAGGCCCGCTTCTTCAGCCACAAAACAGGTGAGAGCACCTGCCCGGCCTGCTTTCCGGGCTTTTGCTGGGGATTAGCGGGGATACGCATGTGAATGGGCTCTGTGAGCTGGTACAGCTCTGGGTGGCCCTAGGGGTTGTACATCTCATTATTTCAGCCTGCATCTGCTGACTGCTAAGCTGCATCCGGCCATTAGCTTGAGGTGGTGACTAATTGTTTTCTGGTGAAAAAAAAAACCAAGATTTCCTTAATGTTTCATGAGTCACAAAATGAATATCTCTAGACCAAGAACCTCTCAGTTTAGAGATGTAGCTGTTCATCTAATCACGCCTGAGAAGCAGTCGGGCTTAACCGACCTGCCTTCCTGAAGCTCACTTTGTGAGCCCAGAGCGGTGAAGAGGATGAATAAGATCGTCTGTGCCCTCCAGGAGGTTGGGATGGATAAGGAGGGAGACCTGCTAGGCTCTCTCTGAGGCTTACAGGGTGGGGCTCACTGTAACCGACCCAAGCCAGGGGCCAAGAGGTCATGCCAAGCGCAAACACTGAGCT